TGTTTGCCTTATGAGTTGTTATATTCTAATCCGAAACCAAATTACAACCCTGATGATTTCATAGCAACTCGTACCAGCTTAGCTCAAAGTGTTTTTAGAAGAATCCGTGAAACACTTCATAAATCAACAGCAGAATTTACAAGAGTCACAAACACTCGAGCAAAGTCATCCAAAATCAAAGTAGGTTTGAGATTTATGCTGACTAACTTTAGCAAAACGTCTGCAATGCCTAAGCTTGATCAAAAGTTTGTTGGTCCTTATTGAGTAGTTGAACATATCACTGGTAATAAGTATAAGGTTAGAGAAATAAGGACTGGTCAGAATAAAGAATCGCATTTAGATCATATGAAGTTAGTATGTGATGATAATGATGTTCCAACTCAGACTAATGTGACAGACACTGACAATCCTCCTGATCCTGTACTCTCTACCTCTGATACTCAGTCAGACGATCAACCTGAATGTCGTTATTCCCTACGTACACGACAGGTATTGAGAAATCCTCAAGTATCATTTGTTACTACCAATTCAGATTTGCCTCAAATACAGCATGAGTTAGCCAGTGCAACAGAGTTTGATCCTCCCAGAGATGACACCCATTCTGCATATATCAATCTCACCCTAGCAGAGTTGGGGTTAAATGTAAATAACCTGTATAGATGAATAATTACAGTATCAACTTATCAGTATTCAAGAATTTTTTTTTTCTGTTCACGTTCTCTCCGAGTTCTGAGAGTTAACAGTCTAGATTTGAGTGCACCGAATCTGCCTTTCTGTTAAACACTTCTTTCTTTGAACATTAAAATGGTATAAAATACCGACAGGTTGTTAGGTAAGACACACATGCAACAGTTAGGTATCTAGTCCGAAACATATTGTTTCAGACTATGGAACAATGCTCTTCTGCAGACTGAGGGACTGACCACCTCAAAACTTTAAGGGTGATGGACTGATTACATCGTCTTCAAGTCACTTCTGCTTCTATCAACTTTTCTGTACTCGACTGAAGAAGCCTACTGTGTAGGCGAAACGTTTCGAAAAAAAGATACCTAACTGTTGCATATGTGTCTTACCTAACCACTTCTTTCTTTGTATATATTTTCCCTTTCCCCAAATCCGTAGATCACATGAATACAGATCGATCGATCAAATTTTTTTTTTATCACTTCTATTGTGTACAGTGGACCCCCGCATACCGATGGCATCACATAACGATTAATCCACATACCGTTTGCTTTAATCGCAAAAATTTTGCCTCGCATACCGCTTAAAAACCCGCTCACCGATTTTCGTCTGAGACACGTCCAATGTGCGCCCTCAGCCAGCCTCACATGTGCCGCCGGTGGCGTTGTTTACCAGCCAGCCTCCGCGGTAACATCCAAGCATACAATCGGAATATTTCGTATTATTACAGTGTTTTCGGTGCTTTTTCTGGAAAATAAGTGACCATGGGCCCCAAGAAAGCTTCTAGTGCCAACCCTACAGCAATAAGGGTGAGAATTACAATAGAGATGAAGAAAAAGATCATTGATAAGTATGAAAGTGGAGTGCGTGTCTCCGAGCTGGCCAGGTTGTATAATAAACCTCAATCAACCATCGCTACTATTGGTGGTACAGCTGCTGCTGCTGCTGCACTGTCAGCTGCTGCTGCTGCTGTAGCATCGTCTGCTGCTGCTGTAACATTGTCTGTTGCTGCTGTAGCATCGTCTGCTGCTGCTGTAGCATCGTCTGTTGCTGCTGTACCACCGTCAGCTGCTGCTGCTGCTGTAGCATCGTCTGCTGCTGCTGTAGCATCGTCTGCTGCTGCTGTAGCATCGTCTGTTGCTGCTGTACCACCGTCAGCTGCTGATGCTGCTGTAGCATCGTCTGCTGCTGCTGTACCACCGTCAGCTGCTGCTGCTGCTGTAGCATCGTCTGCTGCTGCTGTAGCATCGTCTGCTGCTGCTGTAGCATCGTCTGCTGCTGCTGTAGCATCGTCTGTTGCTGCTGTACCACCGATCAGCTGCTGCTGCTGCTGTAGCATCGTCTGCTGCTGCTGTAGCATCGTCTGCTGCTGCTGTAGCATCGTCTGTTGCTGCTGTACCACCGTCAGCTGCTGCTGCTGCTGTAGCATCGTCTGCTGCTGCTGTAGCATCGTCTGCTGCTGCTGTATGCATCGTCTGTTGCGCTGTACCAACGTCAGCTGCTGCTGCTGCTGTAGCATCGTCTGCTGCTGCTGTAGCATCGTCTGCTGCTGCTGTAGCATCGTCTGTTGCTGCTGTACCACCGTCAGCTGCTGCTGCTGCTGTAGCACCGTTGTTGGTGTGGCTTATTGAGAATACCAAGAAACAATTAACCCCAGAGGATTTTTCCACCCAGGATAACCCAAAAAAGTCAGTGTCATCGAAGACTGTCTAACTTATTTTCCATTGGGGTCCTTAATCTTGTCTCCCAGGATGCAACCCACACAAGTCGACTAACACCCAGGTGAACAGGGAAAAATGCCTGGAACTAGTGCTCATATTGGTGAATTTAAAGCCAGCAAAGGTTGGTTTGAGAGATTTAAGAATCGTAGTGGCATACGCAGTGTGATAAGGCCTGTTCTGGAGAAAATGCCAAACAGGACCTACAGTACTCAGGAGGAAAAGGCACTCCCAGGACACAGTGTCTCATCAGTCATTGCTGCATCTTCAATAAAGGTAAGTGTCATTTATTCTTCATTTAGTAGACTAGTACATGCACAATATAAAACTGTGCATGTACTACTCTACTATTGTGCATGTATCCTTCTCTTTGTGTGTAGGAAAATGTATATTTCATGTGGTAAAAATTTTTTTTTTCATACTTTTGGGTGTCTTGCACGGATTAATTTGATTTCCATTATTTCTTATGGGGAAAATTCATTCGCATACCGATTATTTCGCAAAACAATGACCCCTCTTGCACGGATTAAAATCAGTATGCGGGGGTCCACTGTAATCCCAATGTTGAGTTTCATTCGATGAGTTGTGCTATATCATACCTTGTAATGCGTTACAGTTTCATTACAGTTTCAATTATGCAAGCTTCCATTACAATATTCTACTTATGTATGTTATAATGTTCAATTGTTGTGTACTTTGACATTGTATAGAATCAGCCAAAGCCGTACACCTGCTGTCTCTAGTTGTATTAGCTGTATGTCGGGACGACATACGTTAGTGTCGCCGAGCTCTCAGTAGTAGTACCAGTTCCTAGTAACCAGTTACCAGTAACCAGTGTACCAGTAGATGACTCACTACCAACCGTCTGTGTGAATCATTGACTATTACTCATACTGCTGCTGACCATAGCAGGATTTCAAACACCCCTCACTCTGCAGGCACTTGTGGGTCAGTCTAAGATAGGGAGCAGAGAGAGGCAGGTTGGCTGTTGGCGCTTCCCATACTTCCCGTTATATATTATACGTACAAACCAGCCTACGTGAGTATTTTTACCCCATCCACGTTATCGAAACTCACATGTCTGAGGGCAATGTGTGGTGTGAATATAATGCAGAGAGTCCATAGTGTGGAGATTAGGAGGAGGTGTGGGATTACCAAAACTATTATCCAGAGGGCTGAGGAGGGGTTATTGAGATGGTTTTGACATGTAGAAAGGATGGAACAAAATATAATGACTTCAAGAGTATACAATTCTGTAGTGGAAGGAAGGCAGGGTTGAGGTTGGCCTAGGAAAGGTTGGAGGGAGGGAGTAAAGGAGGTTTTGTATACGAGGGGCTTGAACTACCAGCAAGCGTGCATGAATGTTAGATAGGAGTGAATGGAGACAAATGGTTTTTAGGTCTTGACGTGCTGTTGAAGTGTAAGCAATGTAACATTTATGAAAGGATTCAGGGAAATCAGCAGGCTGGACTTGAGTCCTGGAGATGGGAAGTACAGTGTCTGCACTCTGAAGGAGGGGTGGTAATGTTGCAGTTTTATAACTGTAGTGTAGGCAGGCCTCTGGCAAGACAGTGATGGAGTGAATAATGAAAGTTTTTTTTTTTTTCAGGCCACCCTGCCTTGGTGGGAAATGGCTGATGTGTTAATAAAAAAAATAACTTCTGGGTGTCTGGAACGGATGAATTGGATTTACATTATTTCTTATGGGGAAAATAGTTTCGTCATTCATAAATTTCGCCTTTCATCAGACTCTCTGGAGTAGATTAATTATGAAATTCGAAGGTCCAATGTACTACGCACACCAAGTGTTAAGACCCATTCTATACTGACCAGGCATCTCAGGCCAATCGTGTCAAATTTGGAGGCAGGAAAAATAAAACGTTGATCTATGTTTGGAGCACTGGCGGTACTAATGTAGGTTTACATTTAGACAGTGTAAAGACTTAAGTATTTTATTTCTTGGTCCTTTTATTCCCCACAAAAAGAAGGAAAAAGTTTATTTGGTAATGTAAATAAACTGTTGTTAGTGAAAGGTTAGCATGAAACAAATTTATTTATTAAGCAGTTGGTTTATCAACCCTAGGCAACCTGGAACTAAGCACAACAGTAACCCAGTGTCTCCTCCTAATTTCCAAGCTATGGATTCTCTGCATTATATTCACACCACACATTGCCCTCAGACATGTCATCTCCACTGTCTCTAGCCTTCTCCTTGTTGCAACATTCACCACCCATGCTTCACACCCATATAAGAGCATTGGCATAACTATACTCTCATACATTCCCTCTTTGTTTCCATGGATTATGTTCTTTGTCTCCAAAGATTCCTCAGTGCACCACTCACCTTTTTCCCCTTCATCAATTCTATGAGTCACCTCATCTTTCACAGACACATCTGCTAACAAGTCCACTCCCAAATATCTGAATATATTCACCTTCTCCATATTCCCTCCTTTCAATCTGATATCAAATCTTTCATTACCTAAATGTTTTGTTATCCTTACCACCTTACTCTTTCCTATGTTCACTTTTAATTTCCTTCTTTTACATACCCTACCAAACTCTTAGAATTTATTGTTGCATGACTACTGTACATACCTCATTTGTCCACTCTGAATCATACTTCCAGCTGTGTGTGTCGTTGTTCCACAGGACATTCCGAGGAGGAAATCCAACAATGCGGTCAGGAAATTCTCGCCAAACCTACAGAGAATGATGGTATTATTATAATTATTGTATTTTCTGGCACATGAGTCACACAATGATATGAGACCTATTAGAAGGCATTTCCAAGCAGTTGTAACGTAACGTTAGTATACAACTGTTAAGCATAACACAAAGCCTAACCTTGACCTTGACCTTGAGCATATAGAGCACAAGATGATTTTTGAAGACTGTGTGAAAATAAGTGCCCCTTATATGCCATGAAATACAGTACTTTTATGGAGAAGTGCTCATAGCGAATAAGGAATGTAAAGTAATACAGTGCATTCTGTGGAAGAGGAAAATAGCGCAAATTCCTTGGATGAAGTATGAAAGCACCGATCTTAAAGAAAGTGGAAGAAAGTTAAAATTGAGATTGTCCAGAAATCCCTAATCATCCAGTTTTCATAATACAAACATAGCTGAATGTTTAAGTTCAAACCTATAACTCTTAACATATATAAACATTTGCATGATACTTAATATTCAAAATATGCACTCACATTACTATGGCTATTATATACAGAACATTAAACTCCAATATAAACCCTCCTCTCAAACTTCTCCTCTGCTACAACTGTCTACCCCACTCTAGGCTTCATAGTTATCATCTTGTTGAAGCATCCCTTATACACAACTTGTATGAATCTTAGTCCTGGCTTTGTTCTCTGTAGATGCTTCCCTTTCTCATTTCAGTGTTAAATGCACCAAACTAAAGAGCACTTGTGACTTAATCTGATCCTCCTTTCTTCTCCTCCTTACCTCTTTTCCTATTTTTTTCTTTCTTTGGCCTGTGTGCTTTCCGTCAATGTTTTTGATCTTACTCCTTGTGTGCCCTTTTTCTCCTGCGGTACTCCTTTTTCTTGTCTTCAGACTAACCTCACTTTTACTATGTCTTCCCCTCCATTCCTCTACTACTGCTACTGCCTTTACTACTGCCTCCCGTTACCCTTCACTCCCCTTTCTCACTAAACTAGTCTTCCTACTTTTTACTACCACTATTTCTTCTACTACTACTTCCATTACCTACCTGACCACTACCACTACTTTCTCTTCTCCCGCTCACCTATATGTACTGGCTTCCTCACTCTTTTCTGTCAGTGCAACTTTGTAAATGGTGCAAGTTGGACTGAATCATCATCGTAAGCTCCTCCTATGTGTGGGTTGTTTGTGATAAATGACACATTTCTGCAACATTTGGGTATTTTTATTCTGGAAATGTTTCACCAAACAGTGGCTTCTTCAGTAAAATGTAGTATAGAAGCCCCATCTCCACGAATATGCTGCACTTTTGTCAAGACTGATGGACTGAACTCATTCACTCCGGCTGAGGGACTGATTACCTGGTTACCTGGAGATTATTCCGGGGATCAACGCCCCCGCGGCCCGGTCCATGACCAGGCCTCCCGATGGATCAGGGCCTGATCAACTAGGCTGTTACTGCTGGCTGCACGCAGTCCAACGTACGAGCCACAGCCCGGCTGATCCGGCACTGACTTTAGGTATCTGTCCAGCCCTCTTTTGAAGGTAGCCAGGGGTTTATTGGCAATTCCCCCAATGCTTGATGGGAGGCTGTTGAACAGTCTTGGGCCCCAGACACTTATGGTGTTTTCCCAATGGTGCCCCTACTTTTTATTGGGGGCATTTTGCATCGCCTGCCCAGTCTTTTACTTTCGTAGGGAGTGATTTCTGTGTGCAGATTTGGGACCATTCCTTCCAAGATTTTCCAAGTGTAGATTATGATATATCTCTCCCTCCTGCATTCCAACGAGTACAAGTCAAGTGCTTCCAAGTGTTCCCAGTAGTTAAGGTGCTTGACAGAACTTATGCGTGCAGTAAAGGATCTCTGTACACGCTCTAGATCTGCGATTTCACCTGCTTTGAATGGAGATGTTAATGTACAGCAGTATTCCAGCCTAGAGAGAACAAGTGATTTGAAAAGGATCATCATTGGCTTGGCATCTCTTGTTTTGAACGTTCTCATTATCCATCCAATCATTTTCTTTGCAATGCGATCGTGGCACTGTTGTGATCCTTGAAAGTGAGATCCTCAGACATTACTACTCCCAGGTCCCTTACATTATTTTTCCGCTCTATTGTATGGCCAGAGTCTGTAGTATACTCTGTTCTAGTTATTATCTCCTCCAGTTTTCCATAACGGAGTAGTTGGAATTTGTCCTCATTGAACATCATATTGTTTACCGTTGCCCACTGGAAAACTTTGTTTATATCTTCTTGGAGGCTAACCGCGTCCTCAGCAGATGACAGCCTCATGCAGATCCTAGTATCATCCGCAAAGGATGATACGGTGCTATGATGTATATCTCTGTCTATGTCTGATATGAGGATAAGGAATAAAATGGGGACGAGCACTGTGCCTTGTGGAACAGAGCTCTTCACTATGGCAGCCTCCGATTTAACTCTGTTGACCACAACCTTTTTGTGCTCGATTTGGGGAAAGCTAAAAGATCATCCCCATTTTCCCCATTTTCCTTAACCCCGTATTTTAGGGGGCTTATTACACCCTGATCATTTTTTGTCAAATTGCTTTTGGCAAAAGTTGTGTATATTACATCGCATTCGATTTTCTTTCCAGTGACCCAAAAGGCCACCCATGTGGTCAAGTTTGTGAGGGGCAGGAGCGCCCTGCCCAAACCCCATGTTCCCCGGGATTGTGCAGATTTGGGAATCCAGATGATTTGCAATCCTGCTTCTTAGCACTCTTTAAAAGTTTTTTGTGTGGGTGTCAGACATTGGCTATGTTCTTGCCCAATGCTTTGCTGCCACCCTTTTGGAGTGGGGCTATTCCCTTGTTTTAAGGATGTGGGGAAATTTTCCCCCTTTTCCAAAAATCCCCTCCAAGGTACTTGGGCACCCGAGAGGGGTTTTTTCGTTCTTAATGAAAACAGGTTCCCGAGTTGGGCCCGGGCTGAGTGCAGGGGGAGTTTTCAATGGCTTTTTCGAAAATCTATCGGTTAGGGGGAATGTCGAAATCTGGCAAACATTTAGGTTTTGAGGCTTTCTGAAGAAATCATTTGGGTTGTCGATCCTCAGACCCATTAGTGGTTCACTAAACAAGAGTATACGGGATTTCAAAATTACACTCATTTCCTTGTTGTTCTGTGTAAATCCCTTCCGTCTGATAAGGGCCCGAAAAAGATGTGGTATTTGCCCTTTTTTTTTTGGCATATAAAAGAAAATTTTTTTAAATTTTTTTTTTAATTCACAAAAGCTTTAAGTCCTCCTTCTTCCTGGTTCCCGAAGAGTCATTTAACTTAAGTTCGATAGTTTCCACTTCCCCTTCAGGGCCCCTTTCGTGTATAGATATTTAGACTCCCGAGGAGCTCTATCTTGTCATCTTATGTAGAGGGGGGTTTTTTCTCTTCCAGTTTACTCCTTCCTTCTTTTTTTTTGGGGGAAAATG